TATGAACCAAAATGACTGCTGGATTCAATAGGCGCTAGTTAGTTGTCCCTATTGGTTGGTTTTTCTTTCTCCTCTGTATGCTTGTGAAAATCGTCTAAAAGAACTACTCGCTAACAAGACGGACTTCTTCCTTGAGACTATGCTGCTCACCTAAATCGGTATCAATAACTTCTATTGTACTTTTTTTGCGGGGGAAAGCATATCATTTAATCAACCAGGGCCTTACAATCATTTGAAATGATAATACTAATCTCCTTTGGGGAGTTTGCTAACCAACAAGCAGTGCGTTGATGACTATGACCTAGAGCTGCCATAGCATGAGCAACATTATTTTGTGATCTACAAATTTTCCGAAAATGTACAGGTCGTTCCTTCTACCTCTCATTGAAATGGTAAGTTGGCTACAACGAACCGATAAGTTTCTCTTCCTTTTCTTCCGCTTCCATCAATAAATATAGCATGAAAAAAAGGCTTGAATGGTGCGATTCCTCAGTCACCCGACCCTCCTCGAGTTCATTCATTCGGATATAGTCGACAGAGCTTAGATTCTTGTAGTCTCCCTCATTGTGCGAGATGATAACATTTGATGTCAATTGTTTAGATATATTCAAGGGTTCAACGACAACGACCGTGGCCCAATCTTCTCTAATTTTGGCTTGTAAAAGAAAAAGGAATAAGAAAAAAAAATCAAATCTAAGAGAAACTCTAGCAGACCCCGCATCCCGCCCCGGCCCGCAAAATAACCGCCAAAGTGCGGGTCGGGGCGGGAAAACCTGCCTGATCATACCCCGCATCCCGCCCCGGCCCGTAAATATTTTTGCGGGGCGCGACAAAACTTCTCCCCCAACCTCTAGTTTCACAGGCTGGGAGGCCGACCCGAGCTCAGCCCTTATCCGAAGCGAGATTTGGCGGGAGGGACATTTCCGCGCGCCCTTTCCCGCTCCCCCCACCCTCCGCCACCATTGCCCCGCCGCCGCACGCTCCGGTGCATCCTCCGCGGCCGTCCCTCGCCGCCATGGACGACTCCCAGCTGCCCCCATCACCGTCGATGTCGCGCATGCCCCTTCCCCTCGGGCGGATCTCGTCGCCGGCCATGTTGGCCCCGCCGTCGCTCAAGCTAGCGTCGCGCCTGCCCGCAAGCGGCAGGGCAACGTGGTCGTGCAGGGCGGGAATCCGGCAGCCCCCGCCGCCAAGGCTCGCGCTCCCGGCGCCAACGCTGCTGCGCGATCTCGGCCGGCGGCGGAGAAGGTGACCAAGGCCGCGGTCGGCAAGAGGAAGAGGAATCCGCCTACAAACAAGGCGCCTCCTTCATCCTCGAACTCCATCCCGGAAAGATGTGCCCCGCCGATGTCATCCAACGGCGCTGCTCCCCCCGCAAGCGAGGTGTTCGACGAAATGGTCGGAAGGTATGCGTCTTCGTTCATGGTGCTTTCCTTTCGTTTTCGCCATTTTTTGCTAGCTCGTGACTTGTTATCGTTCAATATAGTGGTGGTTCAAACAATGGAACTGCCGAGTTCGTGAACTTGTTGGACACCAACCGTTGTCATTGATCAAGCCCCGTTCGCATTCGAGTACAATGAAATGGAGGGCGGCGTGGATGATCATGGTTGTGAGGACGAATTGGCGGACATCAAAGCGGAAGCATTTGAGAAATCGCAATCAAAATCTGCGAAAAGCCAAAGATCGAAGAACTACATGATCTTGGAAGATCAAGCTTTGATCCAAGCATGGAGTGCGGTGTCTCTTGATGCATGCACGAGTACTTCTCAAACCGCCAAGAGATATTGGCAAAGGATCGAAGATCAGTACTTCCGCATTATGCAAAGTATCCCAATAGGACTCCACACACATTTCGGTCGCTTCAAGGCCGTTGGGAGAACATCAAGCCTATGTGCAGCCGTTGGGCAGCTTGCTTGGAGCAAGTACGCAATGCACCTCCAAGTGGTACCGTGAAATCCGACTATGTGAGTTTGTTTTGCCTTTGTTCAAGCTGTGCATAATCATATTTGCATCATGAGAATTGATTACATTAGTTTGTTCTTCACATTGTGTAGGACAAGATTGCCCAACATAGATACAAAGACATGAAAGCTTTGGAAGGCAAATTCTTCAAACTAGAGCATTGTTGGGAGTTGCTCCAAAAGTGCGAGAAGTGGAAGTTGATCGACAAAGAATCTCCACCGAAGAGAGGCTCGCTTGTAAACATGGATGAAGATGAGGATGATGATGGCCCAAGAAATTTGAACAAGCCCGATGGCGACAAGAAGACTAAGGAGAAGATGAAGAGAGAGCAAGAAGCATCGAGCTTGAGGGAGAAGATTGATGCCATGGTGCAATCAAATGAGTTGATGTTGTTGAAGTCGTTGGAGATCAAGAAAGAGTTGGCCGAGAAGAAGGCAAAAGAGAAGCAAGAAAAGTGGCAATTGCTCAAGGAAGAGGGGCTCCGCAAAGCTGCCATTAAGGAGAGAAGAGCACGCGTCGCTGAAAACAAATCCATGTCTTTGTTGCTCGCCGAAGAGAACAAGATCATGTCAATGAACCGCGATGACATGGACGACCTCACTAAAACATGGCATGATATGGCAAGGAGAGAAATCTTGAAGAGGAGAATGGTCGCGTCGGCCGGTCCTGTCGGAGTAAATGACCACGGGTAGCCTAGCCGGTTCCCCCTGGCTCTTCAAAAAATAATAGGCCGATCGATCTTTCAAGCACCCAAGACACGGGGCCGCCTTCCCCCGGCCGGCTATCCCACAAGCCGACTACCGGAAGGCGGCCCGGCCCTGAAACCCTCATGAAGAAAGCCGCGAGGGGGCCGACTCCAAGAAGCCGGCCACGAGATGCCCGACTCCAAGAAGCCGGCCCCCGACAGGGATGTGGTGGGATGTGGTGGCCGCCTCCGGCGTGTCTTCGTGGTGATGCCGCCTATCACTAGTCTTCGTGGCAGGTTGTAGTTGCTGGAACATGGTGTTCGTGGCCGTGGCGGCCATGCCATCGTTGGGATACAGTTCGCAGCCGTGATTGGGGATTGGGGGTAGGGATTTTTTTAAGAGAGAGTGCTTCGGCTGGGGGTTTCTGGAAAATTCACGCCTAAACATGAGATGGAAGCGGGCGTGTTTCTGCAAAATAAGCGCCGACGCACAGGAGGCAGGGGATTTAGATCGGACGGCCAGCGATGACAGGATACAGGGATGCAGAAGGGATACCGGATTCATAAGATACGACGCCAACAAACCCCGCAAAAGCCGACCCGTAAAAAAGTATATTCCGCGAATATCCTTTTATACGGGTCCTTCCGCGAATATCCTTTTATACGGGTCCTTTTGAAGGGTCAGCATCTGTGCCGGTCCGAGCCAGCCCGCAAAAGCGGTTTTCCCCAAACTATAAACGCGTTTTGCGGGCCGGCGGGATACGGGATCTGCTAGAGTTGCTCCAACCAGTCTCTATAACTTGAACCAGTCTTGCGCATTGTTTAGGCATTATATCCCTCATACTGCTTCGGCTCCACGGCCACTCAAATCGAAGCTGTCGCGAGTTGTATCTAAGAATCCAACAACATTGACTCTCAAAATTGGCCTTTAAGTGGGACATTTTGCATTCTAAAGTTTCATAACACCACTCGCCACATTTTTTTCAGATCGCATACAAATTTTATTGACCCCTCATCCAATATTGTTGGAGCCTTATAGGTACATTTTCCCGTTATTTTTTTTTCATTCTTTATGTCAATCAATACGCTCTCTCTCTC